GCCTTCAGCTCAGGTCATGATCCCAGGGTCCTGGGATCGAGTCCTGCATCGGGCTCCCTGCTCGGCGGGAAGCCTGCTTCTCCCTCTGTCTCTGCCCCTCCCTCTGCTTGTGCTCATGCTCTCTCTCAAATAAATAAACAAAATCTTTAAAAATAAATAAATAAATAAATAAAGGCAGATGGTTTCGGCCCGCTTTTAAAGAAAAGGTCAAAGAGCTCCCCCTCCTTGAGGTACAGTTCTGCACGAATCTTAAGAGCTTACAGGAACAGAAGCAACAAGGTACAGACATCAGATTGATGAAGATCCTCTCACAAAACTTCATTTTTTTATTGAAGTAATAAATAACCTACAGTGTTATATTAATTTCAGGTGCACAATATAATGATTTAACAATTCTATACATTGCCCAGTGCTCATCACAGTAACTGTACTCTTAATCCCCTTGCTCTGTTTCCCCCATCCTCCCCCTTGGCAACCACCAGTTGGTTGTAAAATCTGTATTTTTAATAATTGCAGACGAAGAAACGAAAAGAATGAGAATGTTGTACAGACATCACATCAGAAAGAAAACGCTCAAGCATGGGCCCGTTTGGAGTGGACAGAGGAGTAGGAGTGACAGAGTCAAGGGGCAGAAGAAGCATAAGACGTGGACAAGACAAGGTGAGAAACCGCTTCCTCGGTCTGTAGGGCCCTGGCCCAGTGTTCATTACAAGGGACTTCTCACTATCCTTCCCACACACCAGATGATCAATCCAGGCTAAATGTGGTGATTCCATTCACCTTGCCGGTAACTGGCTTAGAAAAGGGGCTTGTGACCCAATGAGGAAAAGTCTGCTGAAATTGACAGAATGGGTGAATGGAAAGAACTTCAGGATTTGATGACATTGTTGAATTATTCATCGACCAATCTTGAATCCTCCCCTACTTCTGGACTTCCATTCATGTGAAATAATGTTTCCTTATGTTTAAGCCAGTTTATTTATTTATTGAAGATGTGATTGGCTTTATTAATCGATTCATGAATCGGGCAGCACCCCATCAAGGAGAGGGGAGCTCCCAAGCCAGTTTAAATCAGGGTTTTCCGTTATTTGTTAAACAAGAATTCTCTAATTGAAATAATTAATGAGATATATTGGGTATTTCACCAAAACTCTTGCAGGGTATATTTTTATTATGATTTCCCTAATGTACATTTATATTTAAGTTGGCTGAGCCTAGTTCATTTCACAATTTGGGTTCTCTTCTCAGCTCTTAGATCTTTCTCAAGTCCTAACTCAACAATTCCTTTATATGTTGTTTAGTTGAGAGGCATCTGAACTAACTGACTCTAAATAACTTTTTAGCCAAGATGCTGGTGTTCAGAATGGAAGGATAAGTGAGCGGCATTCACTACAAAATAATGCTTAAAACATCTATGCATGTGTCACATATGATTCCTTCTAGATTATGTAACAAATGAGTGAATAAAGATGTCATCAACTAGCCAATTTGACGTTCCTATTAGTGTGGCCAGAAAATAAATAGAATTTATAAAGAATTTCCTTATGCCCCTCACTCTTCTACCAACTGATGACTATCTTATTAATGACAATATATTCTCCATTCTGTGCTGGCCATTGAGAGCTAAACATTCACCATGGATATTAATATTCATGTTGCTGAGATTAGGAACAATGGGTATTAAAGAATAGTCCTGCTATTTCAAAGACCTTGATCTTGATCTTCAGCCAGTATTGCTGAAGCTGAAAAATTTCAGGTCTTTCAGAAACAGTATCTTTGGGTTAAAATTTGACTGTTTAGAGTGCCTGGCAATAGTAGCACTACAATGAATGCAGTCTATGGCAAATTTGAACAGTAAAGTGAAGTGGGGTGGCCTCTAACCTAGGGGTTCTCACATCCTCTGGGGCCCCTTTGTTGTGTCCTTTTGCCAGAACTCTTTTGTCCTTAGTTTGACCTTAATAATAGCATATAGGTAACAAAGGGAGAAATATAGTAGGGGAGATATTAATTCTTGCACCCAGCATTCTTAGGAATACATTCTTTCCTTTTATATTTGTAGTCTTTAGTGCTTTAGTACACCTAAGTGCACCTCATAGCACATCTGAGCTATTGCAATACCTTGACCTCTGCTATTTCCCACTTGAAATAAATCTCATGCTCCTGTCAAGTTGCCTTTCTTGTCCACAGTTCTTATATATTACCCTCATGACAGCTAGAATGATTCTTTTAAAATATTTGCATAGTATACTGTGTTCCTCCTCTTACTCTCAACTTTTCTGTATCCTTATATCTTGATGTGCTTCTTGTAATTGAATTTTGTTTTCTTATCCAGTTTGATAATTTTTGTATTTTAATTAGAACATTTACTTCACTTACATTGAATATAATTATTGATATGTTTCGGGTTATATCTACCATCATAATATTTGCTTTCTATTTGTTTCTCCTGCTCTATGGTCTGTTTTCTCTCATTTCCTGTCATCTTTTGGGTTGACTTTATTATTGTCAATATTCCAATTTCCTCCTTCTATTAGTTATACATTCTTTTATTATTCTTTTACTGCAGAGATTATAGTATTAACTTGCCAAATTCTAATATAATATTATTTGGTATTTTTACCCTCTTACCAGACAATGTAAGAGCCATAGAACCTTGAAACTCTATTTGTCCTTCTCCTAACTTATATGGTATTATTGTATTTTAATTTCATATTTATTGAAAACTCCACAATAAATTATTGCTATTTTATACAGTCAACATTTATTTATGCTTGTTTGCATACTTATTCTTCTCATTGTTCTTTATTCCTTGAATATGGGGCTCAATGTCTTTCATAAATTTTGAAAAATTCTTAGCCATTGTCTCTTCAAATATGGCTTCTGCCCCATTTTCTTTCCCTCTTTCCTGTTGGGGCTCCAATTGTATGTATTGTGGACCTTCTCACTGTAAGCTCCATGTCTCTTATCCTCTGTTCTGTATTTTCCACACTTTTCTCTCTCTACATTCTGGATATTTTCTTCTGCTCCATTTTCCAGTTCACTAAATCTCTTTTTAGCTTTGTCTAATTTGTTATTAATCTTTTCCATTGAATTCTTAATTTTAATTATTGTATTTTTCAGATATAAATTTTGGGGGGCTCATTTTTAGGTTTTCAGTTCTCTTCCAAAATCTCAGTCTTTTTATTATTTTGATGTAGTAAATATAGCTATTTTTAAGTCTATGCTGGATGGAGCCTCAGCGGGTCTATTTCTATTTTCTCTTGTTTATCTAGGTTTCCATCATGTTTCCCTTTGTGTACTTGGTTATTTTTGGGTGTGGTATGTTTTTACAGAAATTTGCTTCTATAGGCAGCAAGGGGTTCTAACAATCCAATTTCATCATTAAGCTGATTTGAAGCAGGGATTCAGTCTCTGTGAAGATCAGTTGACTCCCAGTTCACACTTACTTCTATAATGTAGCCTATTGAAGTATCAACCTAAAGCATAAATGGTTTACCAGGTTTATTCCCCACCCCTTTGTGATTTAAATTTTTTTCCCTTGGCTTTACAAGCCTGTCAAAAACACTCATTTCTCAATTTCTCAGCCTCTTCTTCCAGAATTGGTAAAGGCTCTATAGGAAAATTTCCCTAACTGCCAAGCTTATGTCTGTGATTTGTTTTCTCCTGGAACTTGGCCCTGTAATTCTTAATTAACTTGTTGGTTCTCTAATGCCTTCAAGGAATTTTTTTTTTCTAACATTTTGTCCAGGGTTTTTGTTTTGTTGTTGTTCTCAGTGGGAGTGTTTATTCAAATTACCCAGTCTACCATGCCAGAAGTGAAAAATCTGATCCTTTAAAAATATAAGTCAAATGATGACACTGAAACTCTCCATAAATAAAATGAAAGTCCAATGACTTTACAGAGGTCTGGAAGAGCCTATGCAATCTGGATCCAGGCTACCTCTCCAACTTTATTGCCTCCAACTCTCCAATAACTTTCCAAAAATCTAATGATCAACTCAATGTAAACTTCTAAAGTAGAAAGGCCATGTGATATGTCTATTTAATAACCCCCATAGCATTTAGCATATTATCCAACCAATATATCAATTATGATTAAATTTGAATAAACGCTAAAAATTAAAGCCCAAAATAGTGGCTTAAACTAGACAGTTTATTTCCCACTTAAATGGAAGAAGTCTGGAGATAGGCAGTGCAAGGGTGTTATGAAGGCAGCAAGTATCAGGGACCCAGGCTTTTTTTATCTTGTTGCGTTACTCTGCATGGTTTCCACTCCCAAGGTTCATCTATGGCCTAAGATGATGCTAAAGTTCCTGATAATAGCCGTAAGGAGGAAGAGGGAAGTAAAAGAGTGCCCCTCCATTTTAGCAGACTTTTCAGAAGACATAACATCTCTGCTTTCTTCTGATCACCTAGCCAGTCATGTGGCTTCACCTAGCTACAAGGGCAACTCAGAAATGCAGACCTTTAGCTAAGAAGCAGTGGGCTAAGCTAAAAAGATTGGAGTACTTTTAGTAATGAAGGGGAAATAAGACACTGGTATGCATTTAGCAATCTCTGCTACAAACACTAAGCACGTTTTTCCTTAAAATTTCTTGGATTCTCTCTTTTTCTTGATCTTGATCACCTCAACTACTGCTCATTACTAATTCACATTCAATACTTACATCATTAAAATACACCATTTCAATCTTCCAAAGATTCTCCATGCAAAATCCTACAATTGAAACTTCTCTACCAGGTAAAAAAAACTTGTCTTCTTTTTCTTATGCAAACATAGAAATATTATTTCTTTAATGAAATTTTTTTTGGCAAAATGAGAGATGGGAAATTTTCCCCTGAACACCCAGACTTGTCATTCACACATCTTCAGTGAGTTTACTCTGGTCTACTGAATGTGAATGCTTCTCTTAATTAGTCCATATCTATAGTTGATTTATGTAGTGTGAGTGCCACTATCTTAGTCAATTTGGGCTGCTATAACAAAATAACAGACTAGGTGGCTTATAAACAGCATAGTTTTATTTCTCATAGTTCTGGAGGCTAGGAAGCCCAAGATCCTGATATAGAAGATTCAGTGTCTGATGAGGATCTGTTTTCTGCTTCATAGATGGCCATCTCTTTGCTATGTCCTTCTGTAGGAGAAAGGGTAACAGATGTCTCTGGGAGCTCTTTTATAAGGGCACTAATCTCATTCATGAGGGGTCCACCTTCATGACCTAATCACCTCCTAAACGTCCCACCTCCAAATACCATACAAATACCATTGGGGATTAGGTTTCAATATATGAATTTTGGGGGGACACAACATTGAGTCTATAGCAGCCATTGTCTGTGAACCTCTAATTAATGTGTTTCTTGGTACCAATACTTTCTATATTGGATTTTGCTTAATGTGTGTCTTTTCCACTAGAAACTAACCTTCAAGCGGTAGGAAGCATGTCTGTTTTGCTTCTGTGCCTAGCATCTAGCATGGTGTGTGGGGCATAGTAGGTGTTCATTACATATTTGTTGGAAGAAGGAGGAATTTAACCTTTACCACACATCTATTATATGCCAGGTAGTACAGTAAGTATTTTACAAATATAATTTTACTGATTTTTCATAATAGCCAAATGTGATAAGAATTATATTCCCTTTCACAGATGACGTAAATGAAACTTGAAGAAGATAAATGATTAAACTAAGTCACAAAGCTAGAAAGAGGTGGATCTGAGGTCTGACCTATAACCTCTGTCTCCATTGTAAAGGCTCATTTTACTCTGGCACATTTATGTCAACCAGGTGGGCTGTTCCCAGGCTTCCTTTGATAACAGCTTGACCAATTTCATGATAAGATGGCAATAGTAAATAGTAGATTATTATCCTTTCAGTGACAAATTCCTAAAGTCTCTTTGTTTTAATTAGAGGAATTCAGTTATAACAATTAGATTATAGGCATAATGGTAGGCAGTTATGGGAGTTGCTGGTTTAGAAAGGATAGATTCAGGAACATGTCTTCAAAAATCAAACAATGTGGATATTTTCCTACTCTGCTAACACCAACTGCCCTCAAGGATCAGTTGTTTAGGTGATACAGTTTTGATACTAGGATCTCTAAGAAAAAGCAGAAATAATGACAAAAGTTTCAGCCATGATACCAGAAAAACTTTAAAGGGTAAGGAAAAGGCAAGAAAGGCAGAATAGAGGAAAAAAGAAGAGAGGGAAATATATACAAAAGAGCAGAAAACATACAAAACAGTGAAGTGGAGAGGAAGGGAATGGCACCCATCTGTTTGGTTGTTGCTTTGGGTTTACTTCCTTTAGCTACTAAGCTTTCAGACCCCATTCTTTCAGTAATAGCATCCCCATTTACTTTTTGGTAATTCCATCCTCACTTTTGGATACCATCTGGTGGGACTGTTGTTCAGAGACCCTGCCTTCCCCCAGCCGCTGAGAAAAGAGTTGAACCTAGCTAAACCAGTGAAATGCTCTCTTCCTGGAATCAGAATCCTTTGTTTCAGATGCAGCTGTTGAGAAGTTCATGCTGTGGAGACTTCATGTGAGCTGTTTGGGTCTGTCCTTTCCACCATTGGGTCTTCAGCCTCCTCTTCTCAATCTGGAGCTTCCCCAGTTTTCCCAATAAATTTCTTTCTTGCTTAAGTTTACCGGAGGCAGCTACTGTTGTTTGCAATCAAAGAACACGAGTTGATACAGTCAAGGAAGAAGGTAGGTGGAAATAAATGCTGAAATTAAGATCTGGGATGAAATCCATTGAGAATCTATTTTCAGTTCCCAAAACACTAGGTACTGGGGACAAACCTAGTTTAAATCTGAAGCAAAGTACAAATTAGTGTTCAATCATCTTAGATCTCTAGGAGCAAATATACTCACTCTATAAAGTAGTAGAGGGTTTCCAATAGGTGAGAGTAATATTCTTTTTCAAGGATAATCTATTGTAGGATTGACATCACAATTTGGGTTACTGAAAAAGTATGTTTCCTGAAAGGCAGAGGTTTACCTCAGTTTTTACTTTACAAGATCTTTGTGTCTTTGATATTCACATCTTTGGCATGACTAAAGGATTTTTCCATTCAAATCAACCTCCTTCAGCTTGGCTAGTCCCTCCTTCCTCCCCCCTGATTTGCCCCATGGGATTCTTTCTTTTCACTGCCAAGGATTAAATTCTCTGTGAAAGCCTTGAAGGCAATAGACATCTGTACTGGAAAGGAGATACAAAACTGTCCAAAAAGAGAGAAGCACTCCCAAAGCTTAAGTGAGAAAATAATTGAACTCTTATTCATGTTGGAAAAAAGTCTGGTTTCAAACTGAGATTTTTATTGACTTTTTTTGTCATAAAAGGATCATCGTTTATGTTGAATAAGGAACAGTTATTGTTCTACTTTACCAAAGATGCTAAGTTTGCATGTTTTAAACATCAAACAAACATCTCCATAGAGAATGGCTTGCTGCCAATAACTGCTGAGCAGGCCAGACTTTCAGAGCAGCCCACTTATACCAGTTCTGTGTTGGTGGGTGAGCAATTCAAGATAGAAGGCTGAATTAGAATTCAGCCCTAATCCTGCTAGGGATGCTGGTTTTATTAGGTCTGAGTTTGATGGTCAGAAGACGATCCCACATTGCTCTACAGCACAGATCCATTGCTCTCTCCTCAAGCCATGCACATGAGAGGCACGGTGTTGTTAGCAATGTACAAACAGCAGATGCCATGAGTACAAATAAAAAGGACACCCAGTATATAATGTAGACCTTAACGATTACCTTGTTCTCAGTCCTAATCTCTCCACCTTATACATATCTTACATTAATATTATATTCTGGCAATTGATGTATGGAGTCCTATGTTGTGCCAAACTAAATTGATTGTCAGTTTAGACATGATAAGGGGGATCATGCAAGAATGATATATTATCAGAACTCTATCATCTCAACATTAGTCGGTTGTTCAGTCTATTAATCTAACAATTCATGGGAAGCCTGAGGCTGGAAATGAGGGAATATGATCAATGGAGAAGAACTGAGCTCTAGATATTAACTCTTAGAAAATAGCCCCTTGAAAATGTCTTCTCTTTATGTTTATTTGCCATGGGAAATGGTATATTTTTCTGCTCTGTGTGAAAATTTAGCTTGGGGGGAAAAATCACATAGGTTATTATGTCAGGTCTCCCAAATGATTAGATGACTGACCCTTTCAGCAAAAAAACCTCAGCGTTCTTTGCTTTTCTTATAATTGCTCAGGCTTCAATTCTATTGAAAAGAGACTGGAAAAGCCATTCTATGAAATGACTCTTTAATATTTGATAAATGAGTCAGTCTTGTGAGCCTATATGGTTGCAGCAGTCATGCTTCTCAGCTGAGACTGCCTATGTTCACATGGGATGGTCATTAAGCAAACCTTTTAAGATGACAGGACTTCAGTTCTTCTGTCTCATTTCCTAGAAAGAAGAATAATGGAATAAAATCTGGAGAGTTAAAAGGGAAAATAAAGGGTATGCACCCTTCCCCCCACCACAGCTTTCTAACCTAGAAAGGCAACATAATTTGTGGTAAAAAGCTGTATTCTAAGTGGCAAAGTAAATAGGAGATATTTATTCCTAAATCTTCATGACACTTTAATGAGATAGTGGGAGAATATTATTATTAGGCCCTTAATGATTTAAGAAAATTGAGACAAAGGGATGCTGGAAAATATATTAAATATTACACTATTAATCTGAATTAAAAGACCAGAACATGTCCAAATATCTTTGTTCAGGGAAATGAATCTCCAGCTGGAGAGTGAATTGGACAATATAGATACTAGATAGTCAGCTTTCATCTGGATCCAGATGTTATTTCCATTCTAGTCCAAGTGAGATTTGCTTTTAACCACAGACTCAGAGAGCTCTGGTCTCTACCCAGAGAAACCAGACTGTCAGACCTCTCCCTTGGATTTCTCCTTCCTGCCACATACTCCCACACCTCATGCACTCCACATATACCTACCAGCTGCCCACCAGAACCAGCTGCCTCAGGACCGGGCTGTCAAGGGAAGTCTTCCTGTGGATGGACAGCCCTTGGCAGCAGCAGGAGTCCTCAGCAAGATTGTCCCTTTGGCCTCAGTTCCAACTTTGGGCTCTGACCCAGGTCTGGCAAAAGATAATACATACCCATTGTAGGAAATATGAAAAGGACATAGGATTTTTTTTTAATTGCTTATAATCTCACCACCCAGAGTGATCACTGTCAATATTTTGGTGTAGTTTTTAAAATTGTAATCTAAATAAAACATATAAATGTTCATTTAGTTGGGGGTCACACACACTGTACATGCAATTTTGAATCCTGCTTTACTTCTTTTTTTTTAACTTTGTATGCGAGCATTTCTCCATGTTATAAAAACATTCTTTGTAATCGCCACATACCATCTATGATATAAAAAATAATGATTATAGAGATCAAGGAGAAACCACAAAACTGAAGGGGAAAAAAGGAAACAATCTAAAAGTTGAAGATGGAGGAATGATTGTTCTAATTACCAATTTGTAGATCCTAAACGTTATGGAGGAGGGTGTTTGAGGAAAAAATTAGGAACTGGTACATAAGGAATGAAGCTGCTTTGATAAATGTATAAAATAACAAAAAAATAGTTAGTAAAGGCGTAACATATAATATTTAAATACCAAGAAAATGATTGCTTTTGTGCAGCATCTTATTATATTGGTAAGATTAATTAATTCAGTTTGATTAAATAATAAGAGGGAAATGCCTACATTTTATTTTTATTAAAGATTTTATTTATTTATTTGAGAGAGAGAGAATGAGAGACAGAGAGCATGAGAGGGAGGAGGGTCAGAGGGAGAAGCAGACTCCC